ATCGTGGTCTTCTTGATCGTGGTCTTCTTGATCGTGGTCTTCTTGATCGTTGTCTTCTTGATCCTGGGCTTCTTGATCCTTGTCTTCTTGATCCTTGTCTTCTTGATCCTGGTCTTCTTGATCCTGGTCTTCTTGATCCTGGTCTTCTTGATCATGGTCTTCTTGATCGTGGTCTTCTTGATCGTGGTCTTCTTGATCGTGGTCTTCTTGATCGTGGTCTTCTTGATCGTGGTCTTCTTGATCCTGGTCTTCTTGATCGTGGTCTTCTTGATCCTGGTCTTCTTGATCCTTGTCTTCTTGATCGTGGTCTTCTTGATCGTGGTCTTCTTGATCGTGGTCTTCTTGATCGTGGTCTTCTTGATCGTGGTCATCTTGATCGTGATCTTCTTGATCCTTGTCTTCTTGATCCTGGTCTTCTTGATCGTGGTCTTCTTGATCGTGGTCATCTTGATCGTGATCTTCTTGATCCTTGTCTTCTTGATCCTGGTCTTCTTGATCGTGGTCTTCTTGATCGTGGTCTTCTTGATCGTGGTCTTCTTGATCGTGGTCTTCTTGATCCTGGTCTTCTTGATCGTGGTCTTATTGATCCTGGTCTTATTGATCCTGGTCTTCTTGATCCTGGTCTTCTTGATCCTGGTCTTCTTGATCCTGGTCTTGATCCTGGTCTTCTTGATCCTGGTCTTCTTGATCCTGGTCTTCTTGATCCTGGTCTTCTTGATCCTGGTCTTCTTGATCCTGGTCTTCTTGATCCTGGTCTTCTTGATCTTGGTCTTATTGATCCTGGTCTTCTTGATCCTGGTCTTATTGATCCTGGTCTTACTGATCCTGGTCTTCTTGATCCTGGTCTTCTTGATCCTGGTCTTCTTGATCCTGGTCTTCTTGATCCTGGTCTTCTTGATCCTGGTCTTCTTGATCCTGGTCCTATACAGTCGTACCCTTCAAGGTCGTCAAGTTCTTCAGCGTCACTGTTCATCCTCTCAGTTCTGGTAGCAATACTTATAACATCTGAGGTGTAACTCAAGTATTTAGCAACGTGTTGGCTGGAAGCTGCGCCCAGATACTCGCTGATAATTCTAACATGTGTAACGTCTGAAGGTCTAAATTATTGCCTTGGTTATTAAATACTGATCTGTGGGTCGTTCACCTTGTTGAAGTCGTATATTTACACTGGTTGTGTACTCACCAAGTCGTACTCACCTAGTTGTAGTTGCACCGGTCGATTCGTAGCTCCCGTCCTGGAGGTGGGAAGTACAGCGCCTGTACTCTGAAGGATGGGTGAGGATGTTACTTTCCTGGAGGTAGGAAGTACAGTGACTGTACTCTGAAGAATGGGTGAGGATGTTACAGTTCTGGAAGTGGGAAGTGCAGTGCCTGTACTCTGAAGGATGAGTGAGGATGTTACAGTTCTGGAGGCGGGAAGTACAGTGCCTGTACTCTGAAGGATGAGTGAGGATGTTACAGTCCTTGAGGTGGGAAGTACAGTGCCTCTACTCTGAAGGATAAGTGAGGATGTTACAGATCTGGAGGTGGGAAGTACAGCGCCTGTACTCTGAAGGATGAGTGGGAATGTTACAGTCCTTGAAGTGGGAAGTACAGTGCCTGTACTCTGAAGGATGAGTGAGGATGTTACAGTCCTGGAGGTGGGAAGTACAGCGCCTCTACTCTGAAGGATGAGTGAGGATGTTACAGTCCTGGAGGTGGGAAGTACAGCGCCTCTACTCTGAAGGATGAGTGAGGATGTTACAGTCCTTGAGGTGGGAAGTACAGTGCCTGTACTCTGAAGGATGAGTGAGGATGTTACAGTCCTTGAGGTGGGAAGTACAGTGCCTGTACTCTGAAGGATGAGTGAGGATGTTACAGTTCTGGAGGTGGGAAGTACAGTACCTGTACTCTGAAGGATGAGTGAGGATGTTACAGTTCTGGAGGTGGGAAGTACAGTGCCTGTACTCTGAAGGATGAGTGAGGATGTTACAGTTCTGGAGGTGGGAAGTACAGTGCCTGTACTCTGAAGGATGAGTGAGGATGTTACAGTTTAGAATATCATTTAAACCTTAATATCCAGGCACTTCTGATAAAACAGCTACTGAATGAATGATGGGTAACGTGTTTTCCTTCCTGGAAGTCAACGCACCACGATGCGAGACTACGAGTTGATGACCACAAAACAATGGCATCTCCTTAAATATTACAAGAGTTGAGCACAAGCAGCAGCTGTCTGGTACAATCAACTCTTATCCAGTTTGCTCACCTTAAAGGTCCAGGATCGATACCTCCTCGCTGGCTGCTAAACCAGGTTTATCTTTCACTAACTTTTCTCTGTGCTAGTTTTAATGTCGGTTTATAAAGCCAAGTTGTTGCTGCTACCGTTGTTACTACTTCTACTATTACTACTACTACTACTACTACTACTGCTGCTGCTACTACTACTATTACTACCACTGCTACTACTACCACTCCTGTTGCTGCTGTATATCTTCCATAATTCACACTCAGTGATGTATATCTTTCATAATAGACAATATACATTGAATCATAGTATTTATTGAAGTGCTGTCGTCACCTCAGACATTTTAGTTATGTCAAGAGTAACATGTCATGTCAATGTTCTGTCAACCTGCGTTTCACAACAATGTGATCCAGATATTTTACACATAAATAAATCAAGTTTATACAATCCTCGACTTATATTATGTTAGTAGCCATTAATAATTTTTTCTATGACTCTTGATTCTCTCATACAACTTTCTCATCCTCTTGAAAGTCAATTGGTTAAAATCCCTCACACGAATAAAGAGAGCATTAGACACTTGTCTAATTCTAGATTTCGTTGTAGTTTGTTTATGAATCTTGGTAAGACGGATGGTCAACATTTAGGTATCTTTATTCTCAAACGTTTCGCCTACACGGTAGGTTTCTTCAGTCGAGAATAGAGAAGTGGGAGAAGCAGTAGAGACGTGAAGACGATGTAATCAGTCTCCTAAATCATTTCTCATTGATGTTTCACCCACATTCTGTACTGATTGACGAAACATCAACCATGTGCCCTCATAGCGTGGATCCTTAGGGTAATCTATCAGGGAAGGGAAGATACGTCGTAGAGAAAGCTCCTTTCGAGACAACGTTTTGCACTTGACAAAGCTTTATAAAGCCATGGACAAATCTTGTCTGTGGAGATTACTAAAGGCATGTCTTGAAGCAGGTTTACACTGGGCGAAATGTTGACCCAATTAAAGCTCTTTCTGGAAGGTGGTCTGGTTAGATTGTTGAAGCAGTCGTGTTGACGCACGTCTTGACGTAAATACCAGCACTCCAGTAAGTGTGCAACATAGCAGTGCGTGACGAACACTACCAATAGCCTGGTATTACGTAATTGACGTCTACCAGTAGCCTGGTATTACAAGGTTGACGTCTACCAGTAGCCTGGTATTACAACGTTGATGTCTACCAGTAGCCTGGTATTACAAGGTTGATGTCTACCAGTAGCCTGCTATTACATGGTTGATGTCTACCAGTAGCCTGGTATGACAAGGTTGACGTCTACCAGTAGCCTAGTATTACAAGGTTGATGTCTGCCAGTAGCCTGGTATTACAAGGTTGACGTCTACCAGTAGCCTGGTATTACATAGTTGATGTCTACCAGTAGCCTGGTATGACAAGGTTGACGTCTACCAGTAGCCTGGTATTACAAGGTTGATGTCTACCAGCAGCCTGGTATGACAAGGTTGACGTCTACCAGTAGCCTGGCATTACATAGTTGACGTCTATCAGTAACCTGGTATTACAAGGTTAACGTCTACCAGTAGCCTGGTATTACAAGGTTGATGTCTACCAGTAGTCTGGTATGTCAAGGTTGACGTCTACCAGTAACCTGGCATTACATAGTTGACGTTTACCAGTAGCCTGGTATTACAAGGTTGACGTCTACCAGCAGCCTGGTATTACATAGTTGACGTCTATCAGTAACCTGGTATTACAAGGTTGACGTCTACCAGTAGCCTGGTATTACAAGGTTGACGTCTACCAGTAGCCTGGTATTACAAGGCTGACGTCTACCAGTAGCCTGGAATGACAAGGCTGACGTCTACCAGTAGCCTTGTATGACAAGGCTGACGTCTACCAGTAGCCTGGTATTACAAGGTTGACGTCTACCAGTAGCCTGGTATTACAAGGCTGACGTCTACCAGTAGTCTGGTATGACAAGGCTGACGTCTACCAGTAGCCTGGTAGCCTGGTATGACAAGGCTGACGTCTACCAGTAGCCTGGTATGACAACGCTGACGTCTACCAGTAGCCTGGTATTACAAGGCTGACGTCTACCAGTAGTCTGGTATTACAAGGCTGACGTCTACCAGTAGCCTGGTATTACAAGGTTGACGTCTACCAGTAGCCTGGTATGACAAGGCTGACGTCTACCAGTAGCCTGGTATGACAAGGCTGACGTCTACCAGTAGCCTGGTATGACAAGGCTGACGTCTACCAGTAGCCTGGTATGACAAGGCTGACGTCTAAAAGTAGCCTGGTATGACAAAGCTGACGTCTACCAGTAGCCCGGTATGACAAGGCTGACGTCTACCAGTAGCCTGGTATTACAAGGCTGACGTCTACCAGTAGCCTGGTATTACAAGGTTGACGTCTACCAGTAGCCTGGTATGACAAGGTTGACGTCTACCAGTAGCCTGGTATTACAAGGCTGACGTCTACCAGTAGCCTGGTATGACAAGGCTGACGTCTACCAGTAGCTGGTATGACAAGGCTGACGTCTACCAGTAGCCTGGTATGACAAGGCTGACGTCTACCAGTAGATGGTATGACAAGGCTGACGTCTACCAGTAGCCTGGTATGACAAGGCTGACGTCTACCAGTAGCCTGGTATGACAAGGCTGACGTCTACCAGTAGCCTGGTATGACAAGGCTGACGTCTACCAGTAGCCTGGTATGACAAGGCTGACGTCTAAAAGTAGCCTGGTATGACAAGGCTAACGTCTACCAGTAGCCTGGTATGACAAGGCTGACGTCTACCAGTAGCCTGGTATGACAAGGCTGACGTCTACCAGTAGCCTGGTATGACAAGGCTGACGTCTACCAGTAGCCTGGTATGACAAGGCTGACGTCTACCAGTAGCCTGGTACGACAAGGCTGACGTCTACCAGTAGCATGGTATGACAAGGCTGACGTCTACCAGTAGCATGGTATGACAAGGCTGACGTCTACCAGTAGCCTGGTATGACAAGGCTGACGTCTACCAGTAGCCTGGTATGACAAGGCTGACGTCTACCAGTAGCCTGGTATGACAAGGCTGACGTCTACCAGTAGCCTGGTATGACAAGGCTGACGTCTACCAGTAGCCTGGTATGACAAGGCTGACGTCTACCAGTAGCCTGGTACGACAAGGCTGACGCCTACCAGTAGCATGGTATGTCAAGGCTGACGTCTACCAGTAGCCTGGTATGACAAGGCTGACGTCTACCAGTAGCCTGGTATGACAAGGCTGACGTCTACCAGTAGCCTGGTATGACAAGGCTGACGTCTACCAGTAGCCTGGTATGACAAGGCTGACGTCTAAAAGTAGCCTGGTATGACAAGGCTGACGTCTACCAGTAGCCTGGTATGACAAGGCTGACGTCTACCAGTAGCCTGGTATGACAAGGCTGACGTCTACAGTAGCCTGGTATGACAAGGCTGACGTCTACCAGTAGCCTGGTATGACAAGGCTGACGTCTACCAGTAGTCTGGTATGACAAGGCTGACGTCTACCAGTAACCTGGTATGACAAGGCTGACGTCTACCAGTAGCATGGTATGACAAGGCTGACGTCTACCAGTAGCCTGGTATGACAAGGCTGACGTCTACCATAGCCTGGTATGACAAGGCTGACGTCTACCAGTAGCCTGGTATGACAAGGCTGACGTCTACCAGTAGCCTGGTATGACAAGGCTGACGTCTAAAAGTAGCCTGGTATGACAAGGCTGACGTCTACCAGTAGCCTGGTATGACAAGGCTGACGTCTAAAAGTAGCCTGGTATGACAAGGCTGACGTCTACCAGTAGCCTGGTATGACAAGGCTGACGTCTACCAGTAGCCTGGTATGACAAGGCTGACGTCTACCAGTAGCCTGGTATGACAAGGCTGACGTCTACCAGTAGCCTGGTACGACAAGGCTGACGTCTACCAGTAGCCTGGTATGACAAGGTTGACGTCTACCAGTAGCCTGGTATGACAAGGCTGACGTCTACCAGTAGCCTGGTATGACAAGGCTGACGTCTACCAGTAGCCTGGTATGACAAGGCTGACGTCTACCAGTAGCCTGGTATGACAAGGCTGACGTCTACCAGTAGCCTGGTATGACAAGGCTGACGTCTAAAAGTAGCCTGGTATGACAAGGCTGACGTCTACCAGTAGCCTGGTATGACAAGGCTGACGTCTAAAAGTAGCCTGGTATGACAAGGCTGACGTCTACCAGTAGCCTGGTATGACAAGGCTGACGTCTACCAGTAGCCTGGTATGACAAGGCTGACGTCTACCAGTAGCCTGGTATGACAAGGCTGACGTCTACCAGTAGCCTGGTACGACAAGGCTGACGTCTACCAGTAGCCTGGTATGACAAGGTTGACGTCTACCAGTAGCCTGGTAATGACAAGGCTGACGTCTACCAGTAGCCTGGTATGACAAGGCTTGACGTCTACCAGTAGCCTGGTACGACAAGGCTGACGTCTACCAGTAGCCTGGTATGACAAGGTTGACGTCTACCAGTAGCCTGGTATGACAAGGCTGACGTCTACCAGTAGCCTGGTATGACAAGGCTGACGTCTACCAGTAGCCTGGTATGACAAGGCTGACGTCTACCAGTAGCCTGGTATGACAAGGCTGACGTCTACCAGTAGCCTGGTATGACAAGGCTGACGTCTACCAGTAGCCTGGTATGACAAGGCTGACGTCTACCAGTAGCCTGGTATGACAAGGCTGACGTCTACCAGTAGCCTGGTATGACAAGGCTGACGTCTACCAGTAGTCTGGTATGACAAGGCTGACGTCTACCAGTAGCCTGGTATGACAAGGCTGACGTCTACCAGTAGCCTGGTATGACAAGGCTGACGTCTACCAGTAGCCTGGTATGACAAGGCTGACGTCTACCAGTAGCCTGGTATGACAAGGCTGACGTCTACCAGTAGCCTGGTATGACAAGGCTGACGTCTACCAGTAGCCTGGTATGACAAGGCTGACTTCTACCAGTAGCCTGGTATGACAAGGCTGACGTCTACCAGTAGCCTGGTATGACAAGGCTGACGTCTACCAGTAGCCTGGTATGACAAGGCTGACGTCTACCAGTCAGCCTGTTATGACAAGGCTGACGTCTACCAGTAGCCTGGTATGACAAGGCTGACGTCTACCAGTAGCCTGGTATGACAAGGCTGACGTCTACCAGTAGCCTGGTATGACAAGGCTGACGTCTACCAGTAGCCTGGTATGACAAGGCTGACGTCTACCAGTAGCCTGGTATGACAAGTTGACGTCTACCAGTAGCCTGGTATGACAAGGCTGACGTCTACCAGTAGCCTGGTATGACAAGGCTGACGTCTACCAGTAGCCTGGTATGACAAGGCTGACGTCTACCAGTAGCCTGGTATGACAAGGCTGACGTCTACCAGTAGCCTGGTATGACAAGGCTGACGTCTACCAGTAGCCTGGTATGACAAGGCTGACGTCTACCAGTAGCCTGGTATGACAAGGCTGACGTCTACCAGTAGCCTGGTATGACAAGGCTGACGTCTACCAGTAGCCTGGTATGACAAGGTTGACGTCTACCAGTAGCCTGGTATGACAAGGCTGACGTCTACCAGTAGCCTGGTATGACAAGGCTGACGTCTACCAGTAGCCTGGTATGACAAGGCTGACGTCTACCAGTAGCCTGGTATGACAAGGCTGACGTCTACCAGTAGCCTGGTATGACAAGGTTGACGTCTCACAGTTAGCCTGGTATGACAAGGCTGACGTCTACCAGTAGCCTGGTATGACAAGGCTGACGTCTACCAGTAGCCTGGTATGACAAGGCTGACGTCTACCAGTAGCCTGGTATGACAAGGCTGACGTCTA